TCGTCCCCATCAGGTGATGCGAGCAGCCGCTGTCCAGCAGGACACGGCCGGGTTCGCCAGCACAGCTGCCGCCATCGCCTGGAAGTCCTCGTCGGCCTCCGGCGCCAGCGAGACGGTCGGCTCCACGACGCTGACCAGCGAGCACGATGCCTCCTTGTCGTCTCGCCCCTTGCCGCCAGCAGAGGAGTCGGCGTCCTTCGCCGAGTTCGACGACTTGGTCGACTGCTTCTCCTTGCGCAACTTACTCTCCCTGCGAGGGCGGCGCCAGGCTGTCCCCCGTCGGCCACCCGTGCGTCGTCGTCGTCCGAGCCGACGTTGACTTCCTCCTCCATGACCGCTATCTTTAGCCGACCTCTTCTTGTCGGCGTCCTTTGCCGGCCTCCCACGACCGCTCGACTGCCCGCGCTGCCCCGGTCGGCTTCCCTGCTTCGACGGGGCGACGTAGTTTCCCTGCGGCAGGAGTTCCAAGGACCGCTCGGCCTCCTGCATTGCCTCGTCCCGCAGGACGTACTAGGTCAGGGAGTCCTCGTTGAGCGTCGCCCGCAGCTCAGCACCACCGACAGCCGCTTCATCAAGTTGTAGCTGCTCGGGATCCCTTTGAGGACGTGCGTGACGTACGACGCCGTCGAGTACTACATGCGGACATCCTCATGGTGGCAAGAAGTCGCCGAGCCCGGTCCCAGTAGACGGTCGCCGTCTCCTGGTCGCCCATCCGCAGATGCGTCATCTGCTCCTCGAGATGGCCGATGTGCAGGTCGTTACGTCGACTCGATGAAGTGACACGCTTGGTGGCCGGCGTCCAAGTAGTCCCTGTACGGCTTCAGGGCGATCTTCACACCCGGTGAGCAGCATCGTAAGATGGCCGTGAAGGCCAACAGCTGCACAAAGCGAAACTCCGCGCGCAGTCCGGGGTAGTTCTCCGATGGCGTTGCCACGGTGCCGTTGGCGAAGCCGATCAGCCCGGCCATCTCCAGCTGGGGCTCGATGGCTTCCTTCCAAGTTAGTATGTCGGGTCGGCCGACTAGCATGGGGGGTGACCGAGATCCTGTCCGGCGTGAATTTGAAGTAGCCGTAGCTCGGCGCTATCCCGCCCCCTGTCACGTGGGTCGCCAACATCGGTGACAAACCGCTTCGTCGACCTCCGACGTCTCCTTGCGAGGAGCCTGCAGCCGCCGACGACCGTATCCCTCGCGCCTGAACGCCGCCGACTTCATCGGCATGAATCACACCTTGCTGCCTTGACATGCCTCCCACACTGCTGCCGGCTTGGTCACCGGCGTGACGCCCACGTCGACGCCGCCCTCGTCGTTCACCAGTCGAGGAGAAGCAGGTCGAGAAGGGTGCTCCGTCGCCCACACGGCGCGGATGCCAGCCTCGACGACCGCCCAGGGAATCTTCCCGTACTTGCGCTCCTCATGGTGTCTCTTCGAATCCTCCAGCCGTGCCTTTAAGGTGTCTGCAACACCAGTGTGACAATGTCACCTACGCCAACCATGGTGGTGACTAACGCACAGCTGCCGGCCTACGAACAACTTAGGTGAGTGGGACTAAGTCGACTAGACTGAAAGGTAAGTTGTGTGACTTCAACGCTCACTGCACCATGTAGAGATAACTACTTCAACGGGAGCTAGACTACGGGTTAGGCACGGAGCTTGAGTGATCTTTGCGTTCCTTAGTCGTTAACTCGTGCTCACATTAGTTGCGCATTCACGGGGAAATCTGGCAAGAGTTTCACTAGCAAGAGTTTTCACAACAAAAGTTCAGGATGATAGCAACAACATTGGCAAGATTGACTACATCAGAGCTAGCATGCAAGTCGGTCGATTGCCAGCGCAGCACGGTCGACCGCATTCCAGCACGTCATGGTCGACCGCGCTCCAGCAGTGCAGAGTCGCGGCTTGCCAACGCTGCAGGTCGACGGGGTGCCAACATCGCAAGTCGACGGCGTGCCAACTTCGCACCTGCAGGACAGCAGCGCACCCGCTTCGCAGGTGCTCACAAATGATCGGCATGTCGTGCCTCATCATCTGCACAGCACATACACCAAATCGTCATCGTGCTGACGACTGCACCTGATCAGCCACGTCGGCCTCAGGATACCACCACCGAGGTCGGTCTTGCCAAACCCGCCTGGGCGACCATCACACTCCTCCGCCAAACCTCGTCGTCCAGGTTACCTGGTCGACCGGGCAACCACGTCGTCCAGCTGCTCCTTCGTGTGTCGTCGACCACCCAAGTCAACGACCACTTCCAGTCGACCTCACCAGGACGACCACACCCTTAGTCGACCAACTCCAGGTCGACGACTCTCCTGGTCGACCAACTCCAGGTCGACCAGCACAGCAGTCAGCTGCCCCAAGTCGGTGTCAGCAAGTCGACGCCCTCCATAGGTCGACTGCACAAGTCGACTTCCCGAAGTCGGCGCCCATGCAGTGGCCCCCATGCAGGTCGACCACACCTGTCGACCGGCTCGCTTACTGCTGCAGGTCGGCTGCACCCTTTACACCCGACCACGAAGTTGGCTCCGCCCAAGCGAGGACGGGGCCTACCAAAACCCCCGTTGAGAGTTGTAGTTGTATTGCAGGTGTCAGGAAAATTCTAATTGTACGGTAATGTACATACAGTACTTTTACATGTGTAGCTAGCCTTCTGTAATAGGGCAAGGGTGTGCACTCACCCAATGACCGCACTTTGAGCTTCTACATATTGGGTTGCATGGCTGACGTTTCAAAAAACGCCTCCTTGTTTTTGACCCGCAAATTTTTTTCTACTCTGACGGCACTTTGGCCGCAAAATGACCACTCTGAGTGTGTTAAAAAAAATCAGGGTTGGGGAAATAAAATCAGAGTCTCGTTTTTTTTCTCCCCCTTCTGGTTTGTCGGTGAGCTTCAAGTGGCGAGAATGACTGTTGCAACATGTAAGTGGCTCGATCTGGAGCGACTTTGCAAGTGCCAACTGGGCGACCTACCACGCAGCTGAGCTGGCAGAAGGCACAAACCATAACTTGGCGCGCGAGAATCTGCCGGTGCCTCCGCAACATAAATTTTCAACCTACGAATCAGTAACAATCCATCTCAAGTGCTGTGGTGCAGAGAATTTTTCGATTTCAACACAAAAAAGGGCAATACATTACATGTGGCAACATACCCTCTTCCACTGATTCGTTGTGCTATCCGCTAAGGAATCACTATTGGGCTTGTTTCATTTGCCCGCTTCAACGGTTAACCTAAGCGGGATACAATCCAACCTCCGTGATACTGCCGCAGATAGAGTGTATTCAGATATCGCAGCTGGTGCTGTGTCCTTTGCTCACGTGTTGGCATTTGCTGCCACCTCGGAGGCGGGTATATTGAGGGGAAATTTCGAGGAAGCTTCCTCTCGATAAACTTGCATTTAGGGACCACAGAATGTATACTCTGTAGTGACAGACTCCTGAAACGACTAACACTTAGGCCTATTACACTGAATCAGGGGCCATAAAACAAGAACTCTGAGTCTCTCAGTGATGAAAATTTAACTACCATGGAATTCCATTTTCCACAAACTGGATGGTATGATTCGTCAGACTAATCAAACTATTTAGTCTGATAGCGTCAGCCCTGTTGGGTTGTAATCAGGCCCTCAGATTCACTTTTAGGCACGTAAGGGTATCAGGGTCCCTCTGCCCCTAGACCCTGATCGTCAGGGTCGCATAAAAAAAAGCCTGAAAGTTCAGTGCTACTTTAAAAAAAAGTCTGATGAATCAGTGTTCCTTACAGAAAAAGGCTGATACTAGTAGTCTTTATTTTACTAGTAGCAAAAACACTAGGAAGGAAGCAAACAGCAGAACGGGATGTGAGGCTGGATGGCAGGTAGCACGGCTGGGAGGCGTGGATGCATCAGTGCTTGCCAGCACGACCTAGACAGCCAGAATCCCTCGCAGCGCAGCCTGCCAGCATCTCTTTGCTGCAACCTTGTAATTGGTCAAGTCACATAATGTTGCAAATGTGGCCAATGAACGGACCAGGCGCGCCAACTAAGGGGCCATCAGTATAGGCAAAATTGTCCGATAGTCAACGACAGGCCCTCCTGACACCGCGGGAATCTGATTTTCCCAGAACTTCCGGTCAAGTACACTCGTACCTCGTAGGATTCGCTTTCAGGGTCAAACTCGTGACAACGTAAAGGCATCAGTGTCACTTCAAAAAAATTGCTGAAAGTTCAGAGTCATGTGGCTTGTGAAGGCTGAAAAATCAGCCCTAGGAAAAGCTGAACACTGGATTTTCAGGGTAGGTAAAAAAAAACCCAGGGTAAAATTCCTGATATCGTAGGGCCTGGTTGTAATGTCACTCGCACTTACGGTAAGCTAAAATGAGATCCATTTTTTTTACTTCATGCACTTCAGTGTTTGTATAAACATACCCGAAAGCTACAGGTACCTTTCTAGACACGTCGTTCCCATACCCGGAGTTCTTTCCGCCGTGGGAGTCAAGCTAGTGCCCTTATCGCGTATCACATTAAACCACTACGGTCACATTACCGCTATTATGCATTTACGCGTGTGTGGCTGAAAAGTGTCTGCTCAGCATTCGTGTACTCTACTGCCCTGCAGGAGGACGGGCGGACGGAGCAGGTGCGTATACAGCACTGTTCGTTCGTTCATTCGTACTGGGTGGACGGACCCTCCTCCTCACCCCGTGGGGGGTGAGGGGGAGGGTCCTCCTGCAGGGCAGCCTCTCTGCTCTCTGGCAGACCCTCCGTCATGCCAATCTCACACTCCCGCGCCAGTAGTAGCGTCGCGACAGTCACAGCCACAGAAATCCGTAGTACATACTACGTGATACCGTGCCACCCAGGGCCGCATCGCACTTGAAGTAGTTAAAGCGACTCGGAGTCGCAACGCGTCGTGATACCTACCTGTAGTAGTACAGACGCCGTACCCAGCGGGATCGGCCAGCCTCCGCGCTCATCGCGATTATCGACACGCGGCGCGTTGTCCAAATCACATCAGTCTTCCGCTCATGAGCGCCGCCCGCGATGGTGACGATGATGATCGCAAGGATGCCGCCGCCATGCTCGCGTCGCACAGCGCGTGGCGACAGATGATGGCGACAGCGGCCCCAACTCGTCCTCCGGCGGCGCATCCCGCCGACGCTCCTCGCAGCGACCATCCGTGGCGCCACGTCGTGATCAAATCGTGGATTGGTTCGCCACACAGCAGCAGCAGCGGCGGCGGCGGCGGCGGCGGCGGCGGCGGCGGCGGCGGTGGCCGCAGCGACAGCGCGTGGCGGTGGCACGCGGCGGAGAAGCACTCCGCGTCGCCTCTCGCGCTCCTCGCCCTGCCCTTCCTGCTCCTCCTCCTCGTCCTCTGCTCGCTCTTCCTCGTCTCCCTCAACCAAGCGGGCTCCTTTGGCTGGGAAACCTATGCAGATCTCACCAGCCTTCCTCCCACCGGCCCCAACAGCCAAAGCACGGACCCCAGAACTACTAGCAATGCGGACACCAGCAGTAACACCACAGGCAATGGTGGCAACGCCAACACCGGAGACCTAAACCCTGGCAGCGGCAGCGGCAGCGGCGGCCGCGGCAGCGGCGGCAGCGGCAGCGGTGGGTACTGGCGGTCACCGTTCCTCGCCCATCTGCACCACGCCACCACTCTCCTCTGGCGGCCGACGCAGGACGTCAGTGGCGGCGGCGGTGGTGGTGGGGATGGCGATGGCATGGCTGACAGCTTAGGTCGCGGCGGCAGCGGCAGCACGAGTGGCAGCACGAGCAGCAGTGGGTGGGAGACAGCAGGGGTTGAACGTGGCAGGGACATCGGTGATGGCGTTGGAAGTGCTGCTGCTGGTGCTGCTGCTGGTTCCGGTGATGCTGTAGGTTCTGGTGGTGCAGATGCCACCGTTGGTGCCGGTGGTGGTGTCAGTGGTGGCGCTAGTGCTGCTGGTGGTGGTGCCGGTACTGCTGTCCACCCTGCTGCCACTGCCCTACAAGAACTTGCCCTCGCGGCGTCAGTGCCACCCCCCACTGTTGTGCCGTCTATCGCAGCACCGCTGGTGTCAGCAGCACCGGCATCGCTGGCAGGAGCTGCACTGCCGACAGAATCAGTGGTACCAACAGAATACCCAACCTCTTCACAATCCCCACCGTCACAATCCCCTCCCTCTCAGTCTACGCCTTCCCAGTCCCTCTCACCACCGGCGTCCCAAACAGCCCCCGCAGCAGCATTGAGAGCAAAATCAGCAGCAGCCACAGCGTCAGAAGTGTTAAAATCAGCAGCAGCAGCAGCAGCAGCAGCAGCAGCAGCAGCAGCAGCATCACATTCACAATGCACATCCCCCTCATCCCCATCATCCCGCGGCGGGGCACTCTACGTCCCCATGACTGCCATTAGCGGGTGGACGGACCCTCCCCCTCACCCCGTCGTCCCCTTGGCCAATGCCAGCCTGGCTGCTGACGTCATTGTTGACGTGGCAGCTGACGTGGCGGAGAGTGGGGGCGTTCCCAGCGAGCCCCTGCTGGGCGCGCCGTGGAGCCCCGACGGCAGAAAGTACCTTCTGGCGCTCTGCTCCACTGGCGGAGCAGGGTTTAGGGTTGAGTAATGCTCCGCGCTCGCTGCATGCGTGATGTCAGAGGGAGAGGAAGGAGATGCTCTGGCTGGTGGTGGGGTGAGTGAGTAGCACTCGCTCGCTGCATGGCTGAGGTCAACTTTCAAAGTGAAAGGCCTGGGGGTCGCTCTGCTCCACTGGCGGGATAATGAACGCTCTGCTATGTCCTGCTTTGCATGGGGTGATGTCAAATGGACGGGCAGGGAAGGGCATGCGCGCTTGAATCATCACGCACCCGCCGCCTGGCGCTCTCTCTCCCTCCGACACTTTTATTTCCCTGCCCCTGCGTGCAGTGCACCAATCAGAGAAAAGCGCCACTGTGCCACCACGCCCATGCCCATGTCTAACCACGTCTTTTTCCGCTCCACTCTGGTCTCTTTATTCACCTCTCCATGCGCTCTGCTCCACTGACGGGGTGAGTGGCGCCTTCAGCCCTGCTTGCTCTGCATCTGTGCATACGCGCTGTCAAAGGCGCGAAGGGAAGGGAAGGGCACGCGCACTCGATGCACCCGCATGGGTCTCCCCCTCTCGCGATTTTCCCCCGTTTCCTCGCCCCTCTTTGTGTCGGAGACAAGCGCCACTGCGCCACAAGCAATGCTCTTTCCCTCCTGCTCCCTTGCTTCACAATTGTCCCTATGCCGCGTCATGCGCCCCTGCCTATGTGCCAGCCCATGCAGATGTTCAATCCAACCGTTTCTTCTGTCATTAGGCACCTAAGGAGTGTTCCTCCCCTGCCCTGACACTGTATGCGCCCTCCATGCGCCCCTCCATGCGCCCCTCCATGCACTTCTGCATGTGTGCCTGTCACCCCACGCAGATGTCCAACCATCTCTTCTGTCTGCGTGAGTTCGCTCTGCTGGCAGGCGCTCTCAACCGAACGCTCGTGGTGCCCATGGGGCCACACGAGGTACGCCGCCCTGCCCTGCCCTGCCCTGCTACTCCTTGCCTTTCCTTGCCTTGTTGCTGTCCCACTGCCCGTGGCATATGCTGCATTGTCGTTGTACCATGGCATGTGATGGGTTTGAGGGTATGACCGTTTTTGTGGCTCAGCAAGTACCACCGGTCCTAACAAATTCTCAGCTACATGTTTGCTAGGTGCCGTGCCTCGTACACTCTTTCAAGTATGTTCTGGTCTTGTCGCCGTTTTCTTACCCTTTTGCCCTGCGCTGCGCTTCTCCGCACCGCACCCCCTCCTCAAACCCCACCTTCCCTCTGTTGCCTCTTGGTTTCCCGCGATGCACACCACACCAGCTGGCCCTGCCGCTCTCCCTCGTGTTCGACGTGCCCTTCCTCCGCGCCTGCTATGGTCCCAAGACCGCCCTCACTCTGGACGAGTACAAGCAGTTCGTAAGTGCTGTGCTGTGCTGTAGTTGCCTTGCCTTGTCCCATGCCATGCCGTGCGACGAGTACAAGCAGTTCGTGACGAGTACAAGCAGTTCGTGAGTCCGTGTCCCACATTCCATGGCCTGTGTGTGTGCCCTTAAATCACACTGACGAGGCAGGTGTGATCTACCGCTGCCTGCCTCGTCAGTGTGATCTAATGCGATGTGATGCCATCTCATGTCGTGTCATGTTATGTGTGTGTGATGTCATGTCACAACACAACCATGTGTTGTAATGTAATGTACTGTGGCAACTCATGTCATTGTAACGTAACCATGTCGTGTCATGTGATGGTCATGCCACTTCATCTCCTCATTCCACCTTGCGTCAAACCATGTTCTGTCTTACTGCTGCACAGCTGCTTGCATGCACCATTCAGGTTGTCATGTCACACAGTGCACGCCCCTTCCTCCGATCTGCCTCTGCCCCGTCCGTCTGTCCCCCACCATCCACCTGACCCCGCCCCCGCAGGTGGGCAGGGGCAGCATGGAGGTCACCCATGAGCTGTGCCTCGTCTATTCAATGCCTGCGTGGCTGCCACCACGTGCCCCTGCCACCACGTGCCCCTGCCACCACGTGCCCCTGCCACCACGTGCTCCTGCCACCACGTGCCCCTGCCACCACGTGCTCCTGCCACCACGTGCCCCTGCCACCACGTGCCCCTGCCACCGCCTCGTGCCCCTACTTTCTTCCCTGCCACTGGCCCTTTCTTACCAGGTATAACCAACCACTTTTCCCTCTCTTACCAGGCATAACCAACCACTTTTCCCTCTATTACCAGGTATAACCAACCACTTTTGCCTCTCTGTCCCTGCGTCAACCACTTGTCAATGCCCCCAACCCCACCCCCTACATCCGTGTCTTCCCCCCAGCTGGTGGGCAGGGGCAGCACGCAGGTGACCCACGAGTTGTGCCAGCAGATCGTTAGACATATCATCTGTCCGTGCCCGCATCCCCCACCCCCTGCAGGTGGGCAGCGGCAGCATGGAAGTGACCCACGTGCTGTGCCTCGTCAAGCGCTGCCACCTCGTGCCTGACGCTGGTGAGACACACCAGGGGGGAATGGAGCGAGAGGAACAGGGAAGGGGGAGGGAGCGCGGGGAGGAAAGGAGGAGGGGGCGGTGGGGTTGGGGGGGTGGGAGGGGAAGTGAGGGGGTTGGTCGGGGGGGAGGGGTTGGACAAGGGGAAAGGAGGAGACTCCTCCTGTCAGACGCGCCCTGCCTCCTGTGTGCATCACTTTTACGCATTCACATACGTGCACCAAGCGTGCGCTCTGTGCGTCGTCTTATGCACGAGTGTGGTGTGGCAGTGCAAGGCAGGTGGGTAGCAGTAGCAGTCAGGTGGGTAGCAGCTGTTAGAAACACCATCCCGCGAACCGACTGGTTTAAAGGGGGCAACATGGAGGGGGTGGGACAGCACTCATACCACTCAGGAATGAACCTGTAACCTTTACGGAATATCTGGCTTGGTTACCACTCAGGAATGAACCATGGCATTGGCGCCCAAACCGCCCAGCATTGGCATTCAGCGTCCGGATGCGGCGTCCAGCCTCCGTTGTTTTTTTTTTTCGCCTGCCCGACGTCTCCCTAGTGTCATATTTCCCCTCAGAGTCTCAGGCACGAGCATGCGGCGTCTGGACGCTAGCTAGATGCACTCCACGGTACTTATGGGTGGAAGAGAGCTCCATCCAAGGGAAGTAAGGTCTCTGGGCCACCCAGGGCCCAAGGAGCAACACCAGACAGGTGGGTAGCAGCGCAGCGACTATCAAAACCATTGCCCGATATTACCTTGGCTGGTCCGTTTTTCCTTGTTTCCTTCTGTTCCACTTCTCTTCCCAAATCTCTCCCCCTTCCCTCTCCCATCTCCCCTTCCCACAACTTTCTCACTCCCTCGCCTCATTTTCGCCGTCCCACCCTCCTCCACCCACCTCCGACGTGCAACCAGGAGGGCAATTGGAGGCGAGCAAGGGGCGCATCAGCCTGGCAAACGTTTTTCGAGTCACCTCAATAGTCTACCTGCTATCCCCTTCCTCTCCTGCAGCACCAGGAGGGCAGTTCGTGGCGAGGAAGGGGCGCATCAGCCTGGGGAATGTGACGGTGCCGGCAGTGAAGCAGTGGGCGTGGTCTGGCCTGCCAGAAAAGCACTCGCTGCAAGGTGGGCATGGGCAGGCCTCCAGTGCTGTATGCCGGTCTGGGCTGGGCTGTGCTTGAGGGCTGCGTTGCGTTGCGTGGGAATTAGGGCTGGACTCGAGTGGATTGTGCGACCGGGGGTTTGTACCTTGAGCCAAGTGTTGTGATTGTATAGTGTATCCCTTAGGCGCCTCAAGAATATACATGAGTGTATCGTGCGACCGGGGGGTTGTGCCTTGAGTAAAGCGTTGTGAATGTGAAGTCGAGTTGCGTTGAGTGTATGTATGTATGTGACGACCCAGGCTGGGTTTAAATGTTGTTTGGCTGTGCTGTGTGCCTCCAGCGCCTGCCGTGTGCCTCTAGCGCCTGCTGTGCCTGCGATGATGCAGTAGAGGAGATCTGGTTTGCCAAGCAGACAGTGTCGCAGCCTGTGCAGTGGTGTGATGTGGTGTGGTGTGGTGTGATGTGGTGTGGTGTGGTGTGGTGTGGTGTGGTGTGGTGTGGTGTGGTGTGGTGTGGTGTGGTGTGTGTGGTGTGGTGTGGTGTGGTGTGGTGTGGTGTGTGTGGTGTGGTGTGGTGTGGTGTGGTGTGGTGTGGTGTGGTGTGGTGTGGTGTGGTGTGTTGTGGTGGGTTTGGGATATGCTGGTGCAACCTGCTATGTGTGGTGTGATGTGGTGTGGTGTTGTGTGGTGGCGTATGAATCGATCGGACGTAGCATGCTCGCGAAGAGGCCTTAGTGATGGGATGCATCCATGCGATCTCTTGAAGTTGAACCTCGTCACGTGCTCCCGCCCAATGGCAGATTTCCAGAAGGTTAGCGTGAAGCGTCAAAACGTAGCGTTTTGACTCTAGCGTAAAAAGCGCTGGCTTAATATTATCCGTCCTCTCCTTCTTGAACATGCAATACCATGCCACCCCATCTTAACTGCACCCCTATCAATATCAAGCACACCCCTCTCAACCGTTCCTGGCAGCCTTCCTCAGCGTTTACAGCCGAGTGCCGGATGGTGTGCTGCTGATCGGCGAGTTCAGGACGGTGCGTCCTCTGTCTGTCCCTCTCTGTGGCCACTATGCCTGCTGATACCACCTGATATGCCACCTGATATGCCACCTGATGTGCCACCTGATATGCCACCTGATATGCCACCTGATATGCCACCTGATATGCCACCTGCTGATGCCACCTGCTGATGCCATTACATAGTATCTCCTATTCGGACCCCTCTTCCATGGTGTCAACCTTTGTGTACGTCTCATGTTCACATCCAATCGCAGACAGCACATACCACACCCTCTAGACTCTAGACCACATGTGTCCCGACTTTTGAGGCGCCTCAAAAGACATCTCTCTACCCACAACAACATCCCACACATCGCATTCCACACCCTACCAGAGATCAGAACCCCCTACTCGTATCCCATCACCATGTTCCTACTCTTCCCTCCTCTTCCCCCCCAGCATCCCATCACGAACCCCATCTTGTCCACATGCTCGCCCCAATGGACCTCCCATCCCTGCTGCCTCGGTCCCTTCACGCTTTTCAAATCCTCACTCCATGCTTTCTTCCGTAAAATTATGCCGTCTTCCCTTCTCCCTATCCCTACCCACTTTCCTCCCCACCACAGCAACCCATCTTCTTCCGCATGCTCTCCCCTATGGACCTCCCATTCCTGCTACCGGCATGCCTCCTTCCCTTTAATATATTGTCACACGTGCTTCCTCCCCTCCTCTCATCCTCTCTCCTTCCCCCTTCCCTCCAGCAACCCATCACGGATTCCATCTTCTTTCGCATGCTCTCCCCTATGGACCTCCCGTTTCTGCTGCCCCCACCACCGGGCAAGCAGAGGGGGAAGCCTAAGCCTGCAAAGGTGGTGCCGCGAGAAATATGTCTCGCGTCTCCCACCATCCGGGTGAGAGATTGCCGCCCAGATGAGAGATTGCCGCCCAGATGAGAGATTGCCGCCCAGGTGAGAGATTGCCGCCCAGATGAGAGATTCCCGCCCAGATGAGTGATTGCCGTCCAGATGAGAGATTGCCGCCCGGATGAGTGATTGCCGTCCAGATGAGAGATTGTCGCCCGGATGAGTGATTGCCGTCTTGATGAGTGATTGCCATTCAGATGAAAGATTGCCGTTTGGTGAAAGAGTGTACCATGTCACATAGTGTGGCACCCCATCTTCTGAGTGACTGGTTTCGCGGCCGCCTCTCTTTCCTCTTTTCATGTTCTCTGGCTTTGAGACGTCTCAAAACTCTTCTTCCTCTTCACCACCCCCGGTTCCACAGCCCCCTGAGCCGCTGATAGCAGCAGCGCGGCACATAGTGCAGCGCCATCTGCTCAACGGCCAGTTCCTGGCAGTGCAATTCAGGAGGGGCGACTTTAAGGAGTTCTGCCAGAAGAAGGTATGTCTTGTACGACATGGCTGTACGGAGTCTGTGAAAAGAAGGTACAACCGGTGTCAGAGAATGACTTGTGTCAAGTGCAATCGGGTAGGGATGAGGGGAGGCAATTCAGGAGGGGCTACTTCAAGGAGGGGCGACTTCAAGGAGTTTTGCCGGAAAAAGGCATGTCTAAGACTTGGCTGTACTAAGTATTGTGAAGAGAAGGTACAACCGGTGTGAGAGAATGGCATGCGTCAAGTGCTATCGGGTGACAGAGAAGATACACTTGGTGTCAGGAAATGGAATGAGTCGGCCCAGGAGAAGGCCTAAATACGGCTACCTATTGAGCTGATGGAACTAAGGCCTCCACAACCCACCTTCTCACACGAGTCGTACCTTCCGTTTTCCACATGTTGTAACTTCACCTCTAGATGTCCTAGGAACAGGTGTTCTAAGAATGTGGGTTCTGAGACCGCTTTGAGCGCTTAGTTTTACATGGAGCTGATTTACCGCTGTTAACTCTTTTGCTTAAGCCTACACGCACGCGTGCAGCTCACTGACTTATGTCAGAACATTGCGTAGAACCTTCACCTCTACATGTCTTAAGAAAAGGTGTTTCTAGTCACCACATCCCCTTCATCCACCATCACGCCCCTTTCTCCGCTCTTTCCCCCTCCTTTGACTTTATCCCCCTCCTTTGACTTTATCCCCCTCCTTTGACTCTCTCCCCCTCCTTTGACTCTCTCCCCCTCCTTTGACTCTCTCCCCCTCCTTTTACTCTCTCCCTTCCAGCCCTTCTACCCTCTCACTCTCTCGCTGCCATCCCTCGCACCCTCTCTCTCGCTCCCACCCACCCCTCTCGCCTTCTCACCCTTTTCCCACCTTTCTCCCTCCCACCCCTCCCACCAGCACCCATCGGACAGCTGTTTCCTCCCAGGAGAACAGGCAGCACAGTGTGTTCATGCTGCAGCCATCGCATCCCGTGTCCCCCTCGCCTCGTCTTCTCGCCACCAACGCCCTCTCCCTCCATCTACCATCTTGCCCCTTACTCTGTTCTCTCTATCTCTCCCCCACCCCACTCACCCTCTCCCCCACCTCCCTCCCATGCTGCCCACTAGCACGCATCGGCGGACGGCTGTTACCTGCCAGTGGACCAGGCAGCACAGTGCATGCGTGCTACAGCCATCGCAGCACGGGTCCCCCTCGTCTTCCTCGCCACCAACGCCCGGCCGAATGAAATAGCAGCCATTGCAGCAACGCTGCTTGGGACGCCTCAACAACAGCCACAGGCGGTGGGAGCTTCAGCTGCTGCTGCAGTGGAGCAGGGACAGGCAGCGCCTGAGTCACGTGAGAGAAGACTGCTGAGTCAATTCGCAGATGAGAACCAGAGCAGAGGGCAGCAAGAGGAGAGGCCACCGCCAGCCAAAGCACCGCGTTCACTGCAGGGGGTTGCCCTGCCATCTGGATCTGGGTTAGAATCTCAGCCTTTGGATCCACGATCTCAGCGGCCATCGACGCCCGCGATCGCCCGGCGCATGCTGCCGGGTGTTGCGAGCGGAGTTGAGGCTTCATTGCGTGATGAGCAGAGTGCCAGCATCAACAGCAACAGCAGCAGCCCTGACAGCAGTAGTGCAGTGCAGCTTGTAACGCTAGCGCATCTGCTCTCTAAAGAGGACAGCAGCATGTGGCTTCAATCGCTCTTGGACAATGTGAGTTGGCAACAGTTCTACGTTGTGCAGGTTTGAAGGTTGTTTGGTTTGAGATTTCTCACAGCACGCGTAATTTGAACACGAACCTTGTATCACAAAGTGGCAACTGCTGGTGAAGGCTACTGGAGGATGGTGAAGGGTGGTAAAGGGCGGTGGAGGCTGGTAAGTAGAATGGTGAATGTCGGTTAAGGCCAGTTAAATAGAGCACCCGTTAGGTACCATTGTGTTTTTTTAGTATATTTACAGGTCACTAAGGCTAGCGAAGGCTGGTGAGAACTGGTGAAGGCTGTTTTTTGTTATCCCCCTTCAATTCACCAACTCTCTGGGCATCCCTCAACTGGGCATGGAACCCAGGGCACACTGGCTGCTGTGCCTCCGTCATTTCAGGTCTTTCTTTCCCTCTCTTCAACCTCATTCATAACCTGCCATTCTCCCTCCCACAGGGCGTCAACCTCAAAACCACCTCACAATCTGTCGCAACACAGGGAAGCTGCTGTGCGCGCTGGGTGCTGTGCCCCCTCCTCCACACACTATCGTTCCCTCCCTTCAACCCCACCATTCACTCCCCCCCATCCCCCCCACACCGCCGCCACGCTGGGAAGTTGTTGTGCGTGCTGGGTGCTGTGCCCCCCTCCTCCAAGAATCCGCTCCCTTCTAACCCACCCCTTCATCCCACCCCCAAACCCTCTCCCCCCCCCCCCCCCCCCCCACCCTTTCCTCTTCCCCCCCCAGGGCATCAACCTAAAGAGCACCTCACAAGGCGCGGCCACACTGGGAAGCTGCTGTGCGCACTGGGTGCTGTGCCTTCTCCTTCACAACCTGCCCCTCCCTTCAGAACCTAAGCCGTGGCCACACTGGAGAAGCTGTGTGAAATGTGTGAAGTTTGATACGTCTCAAAACTTCACTCATTTCAAGCCGCGGCCACACTGGCAGAAGCTGGTGTGTGCGCTTGCCACAGGCTTTCTGGGCACAGCCCACTCCACGTTCACCAAGAGCTATCTTCACCCTCAGCTATCTTCACCCTCCATTCAACCTCATTTTGCCTTACTCCTTCCCCCAGGGCATCAATATCGAGACCACCCCTCAAGCCGCCGCCACACTGGAGAAGCTGGTGTGCGTACTGGGTGGCTGGGCCTTCCCTCCTCCAAGACTTTCCCCTCCCTTCAAACCATCCCTCCTCGCCCCCCCTCTCCCCCTCCTCGTCCCAGGGAATCAACCTAAAGACCACCCCTCAAGCCGCCGCCACGCTGGAGAAGCTGGTGTGTGCACTGGGTGCTGGCTTTCTGGGGACAGCCCACTCCACGTTCACGAAAGACATTGTGCGGCTGAGGCACGGGTTCCGTACTGCACGATGCAATGATAATTATATCCGCAGTACTGGACCAAAAGGGGGGTAGAATCAAGCAGTGTGGAAGAAGCAATGGAGAAGCGTGTTGCGGTCGGCTTTCTGGGGACAGCCCATTCCACTTTCACGAATGACATCGTCGTGCGGCTGAGGCACGTTTTCCAAGGTGCAGCGAGGACTATTTATACCAATGACATCGTGCGGCTGAGGCATGGGTTCCGCACTGCGAGTTGCAGTGATGACTACTTGTGCCGCGCACGGTCAAAAGTAGTGTAGAAGCAAAATCGGGATCTCATGGGTGCTACCGTGCATTCCCCGCTTCATGAAAAGTAAAACGAAATGAGGGCACAATGGGAAGTCCCCTAGGCTTCAAGGCATGGGCTGCTCGGTTGAACACATGACTCCTTCGTACAATACCCGTTCCACCTAGAGCATCACAGGCAGTTACGTACGGAGGGGAGGGACGAGATAAGGGTGGCAAGCAGAGGGGATGGTTGGGCCCATGAAAGACGAGAGTTATTTAAAGTGTGTGCAGTGCAGGATGTCGAAAGGGATTTCATATGTGCTCCAGACTCCAATGAAAGAGACAAGTTGTGGCACCCAGAATCTTGACCAATTGCATTGCTCGCCCCAACCAACCTTCATAACGTTGAAGTTCTTGGTCCGCGGGTTTTCAAGTATTGCACCGAGGGCTGGGGAGGCTAGGTGAATTTCTGGTTTCGAAGCGTTTATCCACAATTATCCTTTGTCCAGAGGCCACTAGCATCAGCGCCTCCACCTGTCAAATATATTATGTAGGCTGTAGTGGGGTAGCCCATAAAGGGTACAACCCAATTAGAGTTTGACCTATTAGTATCCATTTCCCTACTAGTTCATTCATACTTCGCTGTTAGTTTCTGACATGGCGCCCCAAGCACGCGCCCTGCCCTGCCCTGCGCCGCCTCGCGCGCGCGACCTTCTCCCTGTAGCCCACGTGCTGCCCCACCTGCGAGCCCGCGCGCTGCCTCTGCAGCTCGCGCGCCGCCCCTGCCACTCGCGCGCTGCCCCCTGCAAGCCCGCGCGCCGCCTCAGCAGCCCACGCGCTGCCCCCTGCTTGCTCGCGCGCCGCCTTTGCAGCCCGCGCGCAGCCCCTGCAGCCTCGCGCTGCCCCCTGCTCGCCCGCGCGCTGCCTCTGCAGCTCGCGCGCAGCCCCTGCAGCCCCCGCGCTGCCTCTTACTCGCCCGTGCGCCGCCTCTGCTGCCCGCGCGCAGCTCCTGCAGCCCCCGCGCTGCCCCCTGCTTGCTCGCGAGCCGCCTCTGCCGCCCGCGCGCAGCACCTGCAGCCCCCGCGCTGCCCCCTGCTCGCCCGCGCGTCGCCTCTACCGCCCGCGCGCAGCACCTGCAGCCCCCGCGCTGCCCCCTACTCGCCCGCGCGCCGCCTCTGCCGCCCGCGCGCAGCCACCCCTTGCACGCCCGCGAGCGGCCTCTGCTGCCCGCGCACTGCCCGTTGCACGCCCGCACCCTGCCTGCTGCACCCCGCGCGCCGCTAGCCCCGGGCCGCCTCTGCAGCCCGCGCACGCCGCCCCTCCTGCTTCTTCTGCCTTCGCGCCGCGCAGTTTGCTATTTCCTCACAAGCGCGCGCACTGCGTTTCTGCTGCTGCCTGCTATGGCAAGCCTAGATGTGTTTCATTTTGATCCGGAGGGCCGACCCGTTCGTTTTGATGTCTGGCTCGATGACCTGCAGTTGTACTTACAGACAGAGTCTAGAGACGGCGTCTCGCTGTTAGCCCACACGTCTGGTGCCTCACTCGCTCCTCCTGACGGTACTGGCAGTCTTGCTCACTCCCAGTGGCTTACCTGTGACGCTACTGCTTGCCTAGCCGTTCGCAACCACCTACCGGTAGACGAACGCGTGCATTTCCGCCAGCAGACTGGCAAAGCACTGTTCGACGCTGTCGTCACTGAATATTCCTCCCCCGTCCACTGCTGCTTCTGCCTTGGTCGCCGAGCTTGTTAACTTTGCCGCTGCTTGTCGTCTCGATTACGCCGCCAGTCTTGTTGCTGAGTCTGAGTCTGACTGTCCTCCGTCCGTCGGGGGTGAGTGTGTTCTTGGCACGGACGTCCTTGAGGACAGGCAGGAGGACTTTGAGTGTCTAGCGGCCGCTGCACCTTGGCTCTGTTTCTTGGCGGGTAGACTTTGAGTGTCTAGCGACCGCCATGCTACTTGCCCCTGAGGGAGACCCAGATGCACCTGACATCCCGACCCCGCGCTCTTACGCAGAGGCGATTACGGGTCCCTACTCCTCTTAGTGGCAGATAGCCATGGACGCAGAGATGACATCCTGGAAGTCCACAGGCACTTACGTCGACGAGGTTCCCCCTCCTGGGGCGAACATAGTCGATGGCATGTGGATTTTCAGGGTGAAGCGGCCGCCGAGTTCTCCGCCTACCTTCAAGGCTCGCTACGTTGCACGCGGATTCAGTCAGCGACAGGGAGTTGACTTCTTTCAGACCTTGTACCCTACCCCGAAGATGACCACTCTTCGGGTGCTGCTGCACGTCGCCGCTCAGCGTGACTACGAGCTTCACTCTCTTGACTTCAGCACATCTTTCTTGCAGGGCAGCCTGCACGAGGAGATCTGGCTGCGCCGCCCACCTGGCTTCACTGGGTCGTTTCCTGCAGGTACCCAGTGGAGCCTCCGGCGGCCAGTCTACGGTCTCCGCCAGGCGCCTCGTGAGTGGCACGACACACTGAGGACTACACTTGCGGCTCTTGGGTTTGCTCCTTCGACTGCAGACCCGTCGCTGTTTCTACGCATCGAGACGTCGCTGCCGCCGTTCTACATCCTCGTGTACGTCGACGACTTGGTTTTCGCCACTGCTGACACTGAGGCACTGGCCCTTGTGAAGTCGGAGCTGCAGAAGAGACACACGCGCAAAGACCTGGGTGAGCTGCGCAGCTATCTTGGCTTGCAGATCACTCGTGACAGAGCACGGCGCACCATCACCCTGACTCAGTCACACATGGTGCAGCAGGTCTTTAAGCGCTTCCGCTTCACTTGGTCCTCGCCACAGCCCACTCCTCTGGCTACCGGTCACTCGCTCTCAGCTCCACCTTTGGACGAGTCCGTAGAGCCGAGTGGCCCGTATTCAGAGCTTGTGGGCTGCCTTATGTACCTGATGACCTGCACTCGACCTGACCTTGCTTATCCTCTTAGCATCCAGTGTCGCTACGTGGCCCCGGGAGACACAGACGAGAGCACTGGGAGGCTGCTAAGAGGGTGCTACATTACTTGTGCAGTGCATCGGGCATGGGGCTCGTGCTTGGAGGACGGGGTCAGGTTGTCCTCACTGGACACTCAGACGCGTCTTGGGCTGACGACCTAGCTACGCAGCGGTCGTTAAAGGGTTACACGTTCAGCCTTGGCTCTGGCTCTGTTTCTTGGCGGTCTACCCGCTCTTCTTCTGTTCTCAGCTCCAGTTGTGAGGCTGAGATCTACGCTGGAGCCATGGCTGCACAGGAGCTTCGCTGGCTTACCTACCTGCTGACCGAGCTTGGAGAGTAGCCTCGTTCTCCTGCAGTTCTGTACGTAGACAACAAGGCCATGATTGCCTTGTGTCAGGAGCACAGACTGGAGCACAGAACGAAGCACATCGCTCTGCGTTACTTCCTTGCTCGAGAGTTGCAGCAGCGTGGTCAGCTTCATCTTGCTTACGTGGCCACTCGGGCCAACACTGCTGATGTGTTCACCAAGGCTCTTCCGCCTTGTGATCAACAGCGCTTCACCAATGTGTTAGGCCTTGTGCCTTGTTTGCCTCACTTGCTTACTGCTTGACTTTGCTTGTACTGTGATCTATATATATACTTGCCTACTTGCACTTGCTAGGTAGTGATCACCGTGTTGTTTGTTCTCTTTTATATAAACCTGCATGTGAATTGGCCTTGCGGCCTCTTGGTTGTGCTCAGAATGCGTGGTGACGTTCTGATCCACCCTGAGCTTGCTTTGTGCTTCTTGACTGGTCTTGTGACCACTTGTTGTCCCCCGCTTTGCCTATGGGGGTGTGTCAAATATATTATGTAGGTTGTAGTGGGGTAGCCCATAAGGGGTACAACCCAATTAGGGTTTGACCTATTGGTATCCACTTCCCTGCTAGTTCATTCATTCTTCGCTGTTAGTTCTGACACCACCACCCCTCAAAACAAACACTCAACAACTGCATCGCCACTGAGGTGTCCGCACCAAGAGCTATCCCGCACCCCAACGGAACCGAGCTAAGAAACACCCCATAGCCTCACGTCTGAACCATCGGCCCCGAAGCCGCGCACACTCATCAGCCGTTCCCCTGCTTGAGCCAAGCACCAACCGGTACTCGAAACTACACAACGTGTACATCGACTTCCTCGTCATCAGCCATTACAGACTAAACGACAAAAGTTACACCCTATCGTTCGTAGATGCAGGCACGCGCTACGTTTGGATCGCGAACGTCCAGTACCACCACAAGGCATATGAGGTGTTCCGCCTCTAGCTGGCAGACGTGCTATGGTAGTCAAAGAAGAAGCTGCAAATCTGGCAGACAGACGGCGCACCTGAATTCCACAGGTAGGAGCTTCAGGACTTAATGATCTTGCACCACATTTCTCTTCCCTATGCGCACGCACGCTGAACGGACCAATTGCACGCTCATGACAATGGTACGTGTGCTCCTGAAACAATCAGGACCACCCGCCACCTACTGGCCGCACGCCGTGCACCACGTCATACACCTCCACAACCTCCTCTCTACCACAGC